TGTTATCTGTTGCGACAACTGATCCGAAACAAGTGTCTGATTACCGGAAACTGTGGCAAAAGTGACGATAATTCGGGTGAAGACAACACATCGGCAATTGGTGTCACAAATGACTTACTTGTGATCAACGGCTTCTCATCCGAAGACATGGTTAGTGGTGTCGGTGTCTGTATTGGTGGCGAAAAACCATACGTTTAGCGATTGAATTGAATTGTGTTTTACATTGCATTCAAATTAATAAAACATTTCAACATTTAATTCAATATTGATTTTGTTTACAAAATTACAAACTTTTTCCTGTCATTGGAGTCACATAAATAACGCCCACTTATGGCACCCAAAGAATAAATATAAAACTTACAATTTTGTATGATTTTTGTAAACTACCTTGATAATTAGTTTTTTAACAAATTTATTCTTATTTATCAATACAATTGAATGGATTAACAGAATAGTAATCGATTAGTAATTGAACTCTACTTTTCTCCCATTCCTGTCCTAATTAATTGAATTTAGTTTTGTATTTATAAATGTTTTTATGATTAACATTAAAAGTGTATTCATTCATTGATTGATTAAAGTTTTTATTACTGAAAAATCTGAATGTTTGTACTGTACTGTATATAAAAATAGTTTAATTGATGAAATTAAGGACAACTTTTAGGTGTAAAAAAGTATAAGAATTTATTTGAACTCAAAATAATAATCAAAACATTTGAATGGATTACAGAATAATAGATAAATAGTTTGAATGAAACCCAGAATATGTGAACGGATTGTAGATTTAGTGGTCAATTGGGTTATGTCTCTCATATCAACTGAATTCTCGACAGAAACTGTTGATTGTGTGGACCGTATAGTAGATTCTGTATTGAATGCAATGTCTGTGCCTTTCATTCACTAAATGTTTCTTGAGCTGCATTTCCAGCAGCACCAGGAGCTCCCTTTCCCTTCAGTTTTCTCCACTTTTCACGCAGTGTTTCGGCAACTTTTTGACGGAATTTCAGTTTATATCCCCAACTCTTGGGCATATCCTGCTGTGGGAGGTCGGGCGCCACCAGCCTTTCCCTGACTCGGCCCCTGTTGTCTGTCTCCGTGGGTTCGCTTAGATCTCCGACACCCGTTCCCACTCTCGTGTCTACAGTTCCACTGCCATCTCCTTTAGGCCTCACTTCGATCACATCGGGCGAGGGCTTCGTCAGGAATGACGTCCAACAGGAAGGCATATCCGAGTGGATCACGGCTTCGTCCGCCTCTTCACGAGTCGAAGGATTTATGGAGGATTTGGAGTAGAAATGAGCGTTTGTTTCGTCTCTAAAATGTTTGATTTGTATTATATTTATATTCAAATTCATTTAAACCGTTTTCAAGCACACGTTAATTAATCTAATAAATATAAATGATTTTATAAATCAATAGTCTTTTTTATTTGTTAAAATACAATTGGGACAGGGATGTAAAACAAGATATTTAATTTGATTCATTGAATTTTAATTATATGTTTATCTACCGATAAAATAATTAATGAATTTATTGCGAGAAAGTTGTACTCAAATGACAACAATTATAATGAATTATTTGAATTTACAAAACAACTACAATTAAATTAACTGAAATTCAGTGAATAACTGAATAAACATTGAATTATTTTCTATTTCTATTTTGAAAACAAATTCATTGAATTCTGTCGTAAAACTCTGTAAATTTTTATATGTTTTATAAAATGAAATTATTTGTAATATATTTGTTTGCAATTCTTGGTATGTATTCAACACCACTTTGAATGTAATGAACTCTGATTTGAAAATATATTAATTATTAACACTTAAACCGATAGTAATAGAAATGAATGGTTTTGATAATGACTTGAACTGCGGACGCAATCTATTGAATGCCCAGAAGTTTATTATTGGAGGCAATGATGTGAAGGATAATGAGTTCCCATTCATGGCATCCATTCAGAGACCTAAAGACGATGTCAACCATAAGTCCCCGCAATTTAAGCACAATTGCGGTGCGACTGTACTTAATAAGCGTTGGATATTGACAGCCGCCCACTGTCTCTATAATCGGTACACTTCTTACTACCTGTCCCTTCAGTTTCTTCCATTACTTGTCAATCTGTATGCATATAATATGGATATACTGTATGTTTTCCCGTAATACCAGTCCCACTAATAAGTTGCGAGTAGTGTTGGGAACTATAGATTTGGAGAAAACCAAGTTTTCATGTAAAGTGGAAAAGTATGTCATTAATGGTTGTTATGACAGCGACTATAGTGTCCACGACATCGCACTCATGAGGACCACTCAGGATATAATACCAGTTCTCGAGAATCACTCGGGTGTGGGAACAGTATGTTTGCCCAAACAGGACAGTGAGTCCACAGAGACAGAGGTTTATCAGTTGGGTTGGGGTATAAACGAGACGTACGGCTCCAGTGTCTCAGAGATACTACAAAAGGGAAAGACTTTTCTCCATTCAGAGCAGTACTGTCTTTATGCCGACCAATACGTCAACATCGGTCTGACCGGCGGTTGGGAACCCCTGGGCTTTAAACTCTGTGCCCGTAATCCTCACACCAGTGCCTGTAATGTATGCATTGGTTATTAATAGTGTATTTATATTACAGAATATTCTGTTAATTATACCATAAGTAATAGAGTATTGAAATTAATTAATTAATTAAAGGGCGATTCCGGAGGTCCTCTGTTTCAGATAATAGATGGCCGGGCCGTTCAGATCGGGATTACATCTCATGGCACCGGTAATTATATAACCGATACTCTGGGCTACCGGTGCTTCAAGAATGAGGCCGTACTATACACTCGAGTCATCAAATATATCGATTGGATTGACTCTGCGATCAAAGAATACTGGAATTCAACGCAAACTACTATTTATACGAAATGTGTTTAAAAATATAATTCATATTTAAAAAGACTTTCCTCATTTATATCTCAATTGCTTAAAACCTGCAAATTCTTAATCTTTATCTCATTTTGACTCCACTTAATCCCAAAATAAATATGATAAATAGTTTTTTAAAAGCTTACTGTCATTACAGTAAGCGCTTTGAATCAATTATTGGAACGCTTTTATATACTGTAATTGAAAAGCATTTCCGTTATTCTCATTATAAGTTTACAATAGTTTCAAAAATATGTATGCAAAACATTATAAGAAACAAATCTGCAGACAATAATTGTCTTCCAAATAATAATTTGAGTCGTGATTAACAGATAAATTGTAATCAATTTGTGGCAAATAGTAATAGACGCGAGAATATTCTGGTAGCAATCCAAGATATGAGTCAATCAAAAACATCTGCACCACCACCTAATGTACCCACAGCTCAATCACAGGCACCGGCAGTCCAACCAAATGCACCGGCAAAGCAAACAATGACCCCAACCTTAACCCCATTACCCGTGCCCTCGACTGTCCAACATGTGGTGACATCGAGTCCGCTGCCAGTCATAGCTCACTGTCCACACTGTGGGTGCGATTGCCTAACACTGACGGAACCCATAAGCGGCCGATTGAACAGACTGTCCACAATTATATGTGGTGTCCTTACCTGTTGCTGTTGCTGTTGCTGTCTGGCAGCCGTACCACACCTTATCATCGAGACCTACGATGTGGGACACAAATGTCGAAACTGTGGAAACCTTTTGGGAATTTTCATAAAATAATTGCCATTCAATTCATATATGAGTGAAGTTTTGGTCACATTTCTCTCAATCGTTCATTTGTTTCAGTAATACAAAAGTTTTTGTGTATACTCTCGAAAAGTTTTGTTTATAAAAATTGAATTTAAAGAATATTTGTATTTTGTTTTATATATAAATATAATTTTTAAAAATCATTAATTGAAATATTTATTTTGGAGTCTATATTACAAATTGAAATGAATTGAATTTATTTATATTTTAAGACCATGTTCACTCAACTTCAGCATGTTCTAAATATCAGAAAAATGTGTTTGCTATTTTTTAGTGAGTTATTACATGTAAGGTTTGTAATTTATTAGATATATAAAATATTACTTTTAATGTCGAAATCTGTTTATAAACAAGTATTTAAAACTATTTCATAAATACCAGACACGATTTCATACATATAGCTATTACGGCATAATAAGTGTTTACTAAATTCAGAAAGTAATGCTATCTTTAAAAATGACATCATATTAACTGTTAATCTAAAATCCTTTGAATATAATTTAAGTGGTTTTCACATATTTTTTATATGATTTACGATTATTTCTAGGTTTTCGTGCTTTTAATGATAAGAATAGTTGCGATAATAACAATGCTTTTGGTATTTAACTGAATTTAAGACGAAAACATGTTTATAATAATAAATATAAGTTTATTGCATCTTAAAAGTTATATTTTGAAACATTTGTTATTATTGGATCAAATACAGTATAATGTCAAAGTTTGTGAATAATTCATCGTTTGACAGATTTGGTGACGATTTAACTGAAGTGGTGTTAAGTTATCTTAACTTTGAGGACCGGTTCCGGTTCGAGTGTGTGTCCAAACAGTGGCAGCGATTGATATTTACGAGACAATTGGCGCTAAGTATCGATGATTTTGTGCTAAATTCTCAATCATTTCCGGATGTATTAGAATTACAACGATTGGGCACTATATTGAGAAAGTGTCCCAATATTAGTGACATTTGTGTTAATAATTGGGTTAAAAATGTGGAGCAAGTGTTTCACGTGATTAACCGATGCGGTCGTCGAATATATCATATTGAATCGGATTTTGATCGCCTGTCCAACACTACTGTCCGCGAGTTTTACCAAAAGTTTGGCTCAAATATAAGGAAAATTACTTTCCATACGAATAACGAGTCCAACAAAAGAGTGATAAAATTCGTGCCAAATGTCCACTCATTGGATATTAAATTATTTCGCAATTTGTCGCCACTTTTCGACGGAAATTGCTGTCTATTATTCACAAAATTACAAAACATTTCATTTGTGTATTCATCGGAAGATTCCGAGAGAATCGCAATTCTTTGCGATACAAATAAGTCTAGTCTTAGATCCGTAGAAGTGTTGACAATCAAAGAGTTAACGCAACAACAATTGGATCACTTGTTCCACGTGTTCACACGAATCCAAAGACTTCAATGTCTGGACATAACGTGTTATCTCTTGAATTGCGAGCCATTTGTGCGATCGCTGCAAGAGTTGGAGAGTTAACGCAACAACAATTGGATCACTTGTTCCACGTGTTCACACGAATCCAAAGACTTCAATGTCTGGACATAACGTGTTATCTCTTGAATTGCGAGCCATTTGTGCGATCGCTGCAAGAGTTGGCCCACAACTGCCGGTCGTTAAGAAAACTTCAATTGGTTTTGCAAACCAAGAGTTTGGCCACAAATTTGCAGATATTTCAGGGGTTGAATGGTTTCCGACGATTGCGTGTATTGTATCTGAATTTGTTTGGCTGTCAGGCCGTGAGCGCCGGTGCGGCCGATGGACACATGTTTGAGTCAAAGATGTTAAACAAATGCCAGAAATTAACGGAATTGACGTTTGATTCATACGATATCCTAATCGATGACCGATTTTTCCTAAATATTCACAAACATTGGCCTCAACTTCAGCGCATATACTGTACTAATGTGGACATTACTGACCAGGCTTTCCACTCCCTGTCCAATTTGCCTCATCTGTTATACGTATATCTCTGGTCGAGTCATACGTCGGACACAAATATTAATGAATCTATTATTTTGACATTAATTGAAAAGTGTTTGAAACTGAAGTCAATTACATATCGGAACTCAATTCTTCATATAGACCTCGAGGACAAAGATATCGATGCTCTTAGAAGACATGCCAACGGTATTGACCACAAGATTGTGATATATCAATGACAGTTTGCTTGTGAAGTAAAATGATTAATGTTATAATTATTATTGAAAATTCTTGTGGTTCTTCCGATTCTGATAAGAATCTGATAATGAGTTAGAAATCAGATAATTTCATTGAATCCTTATATTATATATGTTTTTGAAAAAATGTAATTTTAATAAATTTTAATAATTAAAGTTAATTCATAGAATATCTAATGTAAAAAATATATTAAATTGGATTTTACATCCTAAATTAAATGCCCACAAGTTACTACTGTATATAACTAATTTACAAGTATATTTTATTTAGTCTTGTTCATCTGAACAAGTCAACTTTTATTATCATTTAAATATAATTAAGCACTTACAGTATTAGAAAAGTAATATGGCATTGTAGATTGACTAAAGCAAAATATTTGTATCATTAGTTTCTATTATTAATATGATTGCAGTTTATAATGAGCGACTTTTTATGGTATAAGGATTCATTAAAGTTGCATTTAAATGAAGTTATAAAAAATATTATTGTTTGGGTTTAGCGCAAAACGATTAGCCATTTAATTAATTCACGCACACAACCAGTACAGTAGTCAGTCATCACAATGACAATGAACATTTTGTTTTAAGCTCATTATAAAATTCATCAAGTTAATTACCTTTGGATGAGAAATAAATTGAAATTACAAAAAAATCGATGATTTTCTGAGTCAACTAACACTGAATACAGTAATATAATAAATGTAAGAATAATTAGTTTTCAATGATTTATAAATATATTTATATAAAACTAGGATATTAAGTATGTGAATTAAATAAGGGGTCATTTTAGTACCACATAATCATCTCAAAATATTATTTAAATCATACTGTGGAAATGACTTTTTGTATTTGTTTAATATTGTATTAAAGGAAAAGTCTGTGTTTTTGTGTAAATATAAAAACACATTAAGAGATTGCAGTCATTTATGCGTTAATAGCATTTTGTGGTTATTATTTGTGCGGACAGTCCTATTGTAAGCCAATTCCAAACACTGTTTACAGTCAGTGACTAGTAATGGACATTGAGATGACATGAAATGGCATAATATGATAGCACACCCGCATCCCCATCAGCACCCGTATTGTCCATATCTATAGTCGTCTTCTCAATAATAATAGTCTATAGGAAACAATGTCTCAACAAAATGAAAAGCACAGAATTTTCATTACATTTTGTTCACTTCGCAAAGCATTTCATTTTAAACTTATTATACAATATTTTTTTGTTTTCTATATTTTTGACGCTTTTCTTGCGATTTTAATATAAATTGTATTTATTTTTAGATTTTTTTTCGAAATTATTTATTAAATTTTACATTTAATAACTCAAAAAACATTTGATTTAATACAGTATACTGTACTTGGAAATTATAGTTTTGTTTTATTTTGTTACATAAAAATAGATATATTTTAAAGTATAATTATTATGTAGGTTTATGGTTAAAATAAATTAAGAATTTTAATAAACTTATATTTATAAATAAGTTAGCGAAAATGATAATTTTATAGTAAGTAAATTTAAATTTAAATTTAAATTTAAATTATGTATAATACACTAAAACTATATGAGAGACGATTTATTAAAAAGGATACAATGAAACCCCATTTAAAGTTTTAAAATCACATGTAAACTATACAGAGTCTAAAATCTTATCTTGCTCACACATTACAAATATATTACTTTAATGACTAAACTGCGATTGAAAAGCTTTTGCTCATAATTACTAAGCACTCAATGAATTATCATTGTACCCTTTTTAATAAATCGTTATTCATATATTTATTAACATCAAAGATAGTAGAAAAATTAAGTTTTATACGATGATTGAGTTAACTTACAGTTATATAACTATTAAGTTAACAGTGATATTAAGTGATAGGGTTTGTGAATAAAATTTATATGTATAAATAAATGTTATATTATAATTTAGAGATTTAATTTGACAATTTGTGATATGATTATTATAATCCAGGAGAACACCATTAGGGTTTATAAAATATTTTAAAATAATGATAATTAAAATACATAAAACAATTTTAGTTGACTTTAAGATTGAAATTGATATTTATTATAAAAACTTTAACTTTAATTTGACAAGTATATATTTTCACATTTAGTTTGACTGTTTTGTCAATAGACATACGGTGTATAACAAGGTGTGTATAATTGTGTTGTGAATTATATGCACTGATCGATACAATGTCTACAAATATATTAATATGTATATATACACAAACGATACGGAATATTCCAAGTAGAAAATAATGAGTCAGGTACTATTTGTGACCGATCTTTGCTGTCGCATACCTAGTGATAAAACAAGCAAATTATTTTAATAGCAATATATTTTTATATGATACTACTGTATAATGCAAGTAAACAATTAACGTCTATGTAATGAAACGATTTATATTATAATTTTGCTAATCATTTGTTATTCTATGATTCTGTTATTCATAATAAGGAATTATATTTTAATAAATATTAATGCAGCAATTATAATTTTAAAATAAACTTGACATTTTAATAAAATATATAAATGAGTTTGTATAAATTATAAGAATGCATAATTGGTGAAATATATACTTTCTAGTAATAATACTATACTTTGTACTATTTGAATAAATTATTCTGCTATGCTATCGTTATTAAATACTATACATCTACTGTAATAAAGAATTATATGCTATATGATGGGAAAAGTGATGATCATATATGTTATAATTACACTAATATTTTGTAAGCAAATGATGAATACCTGCAATGATTTGTCGCGATATAAACTTGAAGACAGCAAACCAGGCGTCAGACAACTCGCGATTCATGTGTTCTCCGAGTGATTGCTTGAGACCGAAGCGCAGGGAATCCCACAGTTTCTATGAGGACATCATATTTTCATTAAGTATATCAGTTTGAAAAGAGGTTTTTTCATATAATAACTAATATGTTGTGTGTGAGACTCAATATTAGTTATTGAATGATATATTGTTGTGTGGGTTAAGCCGTTTAGATTGAGCTTCAAATGAGTTTACAATATATTGTATGTTTGTGTCTCGACACTGATTTATATGATTTTATATATAAAATGCTTTTTTCTCAAACAGCGTGAGAGGAAGGGAAAGGGAGAGAGAGAGTGAGTGAGAGAGAGAGACAGAGAGAGAGAGAGAGAGAGAGAGAGAATATAAAAACAATTTTTATAAAATACTGCAACTAATACTATAGATGAAGAATATTCTGGGGCAATAAATTAGAAATTAATGAACAAAATGCCATATTCTACTAAAATAACATATGAAATATAGTATTATTGATAGACTGCCATGCTATAAACCAGTTATTCTATACAATGACAAATAGCATTTATTTTAAAACTTCTAAAAGTAATCTTATTCTTTATTATTATAAATTATTTGCTTAATTAAAAATATTTTAATTTAAAAATAGTCATTTAATCACATGAGATTAATTTTTTTGTTATTTTTCAAATTTAATTAATTATTCGATAATTAGCTAACAATATAACAAAAATTGGTTATAATTTTTGGCACATTTATTATGGAATTATAACTGATGACTTAATATATTATTATTTCATACTATTAATAATCTACATTTTATTATAAACTTACAATATTTTTATAATGGACCATGAACATAAAATCATTGACTGAAATTGACATTTACAAAATAAAAATTATATTTAAGAAACTTACTCAATTTACAACAGTTTTCCCTTAAATTGAAATTCGTGTCAAAATTGTATATAACATAAAAATAAAATTTTAAATTTCAAAAATTGAAATATATTTCACTATATTTCAAGAATAAATGTAAATTCTTTGATAATATTAGGTTTGGGTACTGTATATACAACACAATATATTATGTAACCCCAGGTGTTGGCCTAACCTATAGATAGGTTTCACGAATTTTATTATTAATCTCTTAAGTGTGTAGTGAAGTGAGAGATTAGTAACAAAATTAATTTTTAATACTATTTCTATACACAGAATATAATCAAATGAGTTTTAGTGAACCATATTATTAGTGCATTGTCACTATAAGACTATATTAATCATTTTTCTTTAATTAATTAATTTTGAGACAATCTTTTTTCGTCGATGTTATTATAATGAATATGCTTGAGCATAGAAACATATGATAATAATTAGATAATAAGGTTATATATGCATTCCAAAACCCGTCAAATGTATTGTAATTTACGTACTCAATGATTGTATATACTTAATGAATGTCGCCGAATATTATTTGTAATATTAAAACATAATCCCTTATTCACTACTTTTGATCACAAAATATATTTATATTTTTTATTCAATTTATTTATGAATACCGTAAATGAAATTTTAAAAACTAATTCTTATTTAATTTATTTAACTCATAATTTATCTCATATTAATACACATTGGACTAATATTTTTGTTATATTTCTCTTTAATTTTAATTTCTAATATTAATATTCATATAAATTGAATAAAAAATATGAATATATTTTGTGATCAAAATTATTGGATAAGAGATTATGTTTTAATATTACAAATTATTTTCGGTGACATTCATTAAGTATATACAATCATTCAGTACATACAGTATATTTGAAGGTTTTATAAATTATTACGAGTCTTGATTTAATATAACGTTCATTATATTGTAGTTATCAATTAATTTTGTGTGTAACCATGGTTGAGCCTGGTCTAAATAAATTAGTCTGTTTTGTGTTATGATACATTCAGTACATTAAAAATAAATGTTTAATGTATAATGTTCTAGTAATGAGAATAATATTGAATAAAGTGTTAGTTCTTAGTGTACAATGTATTCAAAGCGTTTTTATGCGAAAAAGAAATAATTAAAAGGCATTTAATTATGGATTTTTTTTGGTCTCAACTGTCGTACAGTTAGTTAAATACAATACTGTATATATACTGTAGAGAACACATTCTATAGTACAGAATATAGTAAAGTAATGCTACCGGTGCTCAACAATCCCAGTAATCCAAGTGCTTTATATGTCTGTTTGAGATTTTAGCGCTTTTTTGTGCTAAAGGAATGGCAGGTTTGCATTGCTATGGAATGTCACCACAATAGACAGTAATTTAATTAAATAAATTGCAAAAACCACTTTAAATTATATTGTCTTAAAAATATTTTAGTTTTTATTTACACCGAAAATATATATCTTTTTCCTTCCCTACCCCTCCCACTCACTCACTCCCTCGACATATTTGTCTTGAATAATCAAATATAACATATTTGTCTATTTTATCAACACATTTACTAAACAAAGAATATTCTTACACATTATCACTTCATTATTATTATTATTATTTCTATTTTTAAATCTCATTTGTTTTTCTCAAGGAAATCAACTAATTACAGCATTCATACAATCTATAAGTTAGTATTCAATTGGAGGCTACAGTGAAGTATATTATTATTATTATTATCATTACCATTGAAAGCTTTAAGAATATTATGCTATCGGTTTTTAGTTTATTTGTGTGTTTCTCTAATATTGCGATAAAAACATAGCGTTTAAGTCCTTTTAGAAAATTGTTTTACTTTTTAATGATGTGTCGCTTTTATAGTACATTTAGCTTTGTTTTTTGTGATCATTTATAAGTAAATGCAAATGTAAAGTATTAGACACGGAATATAACATAACAAGTCCAAGTGTTCACTAATAATGCATATGTTATACAGTATCAAAAGTTGTAATTCTGTTAAATAATGCATATTTTTAAAAGACTAGAGAATATTCTGTGTATAATAAAGCCTTATATTTTACTTAAATTATGTAACATATTAAATGTATAAAGAATTGTGAAATGTAATATATAAGATTTACCTAAATAATATTAATATCTTGTATTGTTTGACAGACAAAATGTACAGTATTTATATTAGTGCTGGTATATTATAAATAAAAATTAATATTTAATTTTTTTATGATCCTTAATTCACTAATTATTAATTTAATAATAAAATTTGTTTTTTGTTGCAATATTCTATATAAATCTCTATTATATTTCGAGTCCTTTGAATAGAATCGTAAAAATCCTTATTTAAAATTTATGTACTTTTCGTTACGATAGAGAATATTCTTCGAGAAAACCTCTGGTTTTTAGATTATTTTTAGTTTTTATTCTATTGCAATACAATTCATAATATAAAAAAGTTTTATTCTCTAAAAAAGTTTTTTTATTTGTAGATAAAAACGGAGTTTATATTTTTTCAAAAGATAAATGACAACAAAACAGAGATAAAACAAAAACGTAAGACTTATTTATAAATATTTCATTGAATACCTGCGACAAAACAAATCGATTATCCCTTTTACTCGCGAACTCTCTCTCTCTCTCTCTCTCTCTCTCTCTCTGTCTCTCTCTCTCTCACTCACTCACTCACTTAAAGAAAAGCATGCTTTCAATACTTAATAATAGGAATACTGTTAACTACAATGAGTATACAATTTTATATAATACGAATACTCGTGAAGCACATGTGTGTAGACTTTGGGTATAGTACTATCAATAAGGTATATAATGGGTGGGAATGGTATGCTTACATCAAACATGTCTTCCTGGACCTGATATCTGGCGTGTTTTCGGCCCAAATCGTTGAGTATAAGAGAGAGTACGCGACTGTCATCCAGGTTATCGATGGCCGCCTCCAAGCCCTGCATGACGAGGTTGGCGTGTCGTTGCAGGCCATCCAAGTCCCAGTCGTACTTCCCATCGTCACGTAATGTCATAAACTTCTTGAACAACTTTGACAGCTCCGGATGTCGTGTCAATAGCCTGGTTGTGTTGTGTCGTTATGTAAATATCAATACATTTTCATGTGTTAGACAATTCATATTCAAAAGAGTTTGCAATTTAATCAAATTATTTAATGCATCAAAATATATTGAATAAAAATATATTGTATTAAAAAATAATAAGTTTAAATATAGACAGTGTGCGATATTAAACCAAAAAACGGTATTTGCTTATCAGTATTTATATATTGTATAATCATAGAAATTAACTTGTTGATGTTTTGGTTTTATTTAAAATTCTCATACTGTATAGAATTACATAAAATGGCAATTTTGCAAATGAGTATTTATTTGAGCTCTGATTGTAATATGAATACATTATAAGAATATTTTGGAAATTATTATTTATAATAATAATAATAAATAATGAGATGGTATTGAAAGCAAAACTTCGCTAATAATTCCGAGAAAAGACTAAAAATTTATTTCCTTTTTGTAAACAATTTTTATTTCATCTCTCTGTTGAGTTGAAAATGTATTGACAATAAAATTATATTTATTATACGATAATATTATAGGATAATTATTATATAATATTAGAAAATTCACGGAACCTGGATATTATATATAGATATCTACATATGATATACATATGAATAGTGAGAGTTGTCTCGTGTGTATTGTTATGAAAAACCTATATATGAAAGAATATTATGTAAATCCAATTTTACATAAACTTTATTGTAATGTACATAAAGTAGTTTTATTGTGATAAATATTTACATTTAAAAACTAATTAAATAGATTTTATTTGAATATAATTGATAGAGAAAATGTGCTAAATTTTATCTTTCCATGTTAAAAATCTCACACAAATATGATATTATTTGCTATATACTTGGTATTATATACATGCTGTTCAAAAGATTCTAGATTTCTATGTTGTTTATAGAATTATAATATATTATGCAGAATTGTATTCAAATTTTTTAATATCTATTTATCTAGCGGTGAAAAATGTGTGTTAAAAATATTTTATAATAAGATTTTGGTGAAGAGACATATAAACACAGAATACAGTATTTGTAAAGTAAATATAAGCCTTATTCTAGATTTTTTTGTTTTGAAAATGGTTTTTGCTATTTTGCCTTCTTATTAATTCACAATATATTTCAAACAAAATCCACAAAATCATGCATTTGTTGTAAATGGAGTGAAAGAGACAACATTTTTCTAAACATTAGAATTGCATTAAGTATCGAAAAACATCTATTATAACAAATACCACATATTGAGTTGCATAATATTACACTTTTGTGTCACATATGAATGCATTATTGCAATATTATATTCAAAATAATATTGACATCTAAAATGTGGAAAAGCTGAGCTTTAGTGATAATTATTTTTTATTTGAAATTATACAGCAAAAAGTCATTACTGTATAACCTTTTTAGATGCAGAATATCATGTATATAATAAAAGCTATTATTACGTATTGGTTGTATTGTTTGTGTTTAATAAATATATTTTCAATATCCAGTGAACGATATTTAATCAATTTTTGTTTTATAATACATGACATTTGCCTTCACTCACTCACTCACTCACTCACTCCCACACAATTGACTCAAATTGACTTTTTATTTAATCATAATATAGTTAACTCTCACTATTATATCTAACTGTGAATGTGTTTTCAGTATTAGATTAAAATGTACACTAATGGCAAAATAAAAGTACTGTATTTACTGTATATTTGTTTGTCTTATGCAATGAATTCTTGGGAATAAAAGAAAATATTCTTTGATGAGAGAGAGAGAGAGAGAGAGTGAGTGAGTGAAGGCAAATGTTATGTATTATAAAACAAAAATTGATTAAATATCGTTGACTGGATATTGAAAAAATATTTATTAAACACAAACAATAAAATAGATTTTATTTAAATATAATTGATAGAGAAAATGTGCTAAATATTATCTTTCCATGTTAAAAATCTCACACAAATATGATATTATTTGCTATATACTTGGTATTATGTACATGCTGTTCAAAGAGAGAGAGAGAGAGATTTGAAGTTCACAATCTTAGATAAGTATTTAAAGCTCTCCCAAAAATCCTCAGAGAAAATGCTTTTAAACTAATTGTGTGCTATTTTTGTTGTTATTTTTGTTGTATACTGTTTTGTGTGATTGTGTTCACAAAATATATTTAAGAAAACGAATAATTTTCTACTTAAAGGAGAGGAAAAAATAATTTTTATGCGAAACTATTTTCCATTTAGTGTTATGGCAATTATTTATATAATGGTTTTGACTGATTTTCAAGTGCATGGCAAAGATATACAGAGTGAGACTATTACTATAATATTATATTATTGTATTTTTCGCTATTATATGGTGTAATATAAATATAAGTGCTTTTAAGTTAATCGACTCATAGGATAAAGTACTGAAAACTTCATTGAAGTCTAAGTAACATTAATATTATATTATATAATAGCAGTCGTATTGAAAAGAATTTTGATATGTTATATTAATACATTTATAAGTATTATAATTGATTTTATATTTGATTTGAATAACTGCTTGTTATACAGTATGCGTTAAATTAATAAAAGTCTTACTACAACCAACACTCGTTATAGTGCACATATGAATTCCCTTATATGTAATATAAACGAAATTTAATAAATCCATGACTTTTCTTATTTTTAAAAATATATCAACTTCATTATATATTTCGCTTATTTTATGAGTGAATACATTACGGTAATTGAATACAAAATATTATAATATTATTGCAAACGTGTCATACATTATATATGTTTGTATGTATGATAAAAATATTGCGAAATGACTATAAGTCCCACCGATTCTTACAAACTGGTGCAGTACTCAAACGTATTAAATATTTATTTATACATTTATATCGTCAAATTCATGCATAAAATTATGCTAAACTTTTCAATTTTTAATACATTAAATATGGATGCAATCCGTAACCAAAAATTATAATTCATTCGTATAGTGATAGCCAGCTAATTTAGACCACGATTATTATGACGTTGTTGTAAATTTTATGGCTATTATTGTTATTGTTGTTATATAGCCCCCAAAAAATAACTGTATTATTTATGAAAGTTTTATTTGTTTGCAGTGAAATATTATAGTACATATGTATTAATAATAAATAATTTTCTTGATACACATGAGACATGACTGAATAAATAGAAAATTAGGATCAAATTGAGAGCAAAATACAATTTTGTATTTTCCATGAAAATGTTAGCTAGAAGTTATTATGGTATGTGTTTCTATCATAAGCTTTATTCTGTATACTCTTTATGTTTTCTGTATTATCTATTGAGATAATAACTATTCAACACATGTATTCACACAAATATAATACATAACTAAATGTATTATATAATATTATTAAAACTTGTACTGTATGGACTAGTCAATTATAATACAATATTTGTCTATCCAAAAGCAATTCTATTCAAAGCCTTGTAATTGAAATAATTTCATATTTTTCTACACTATTTGTGTGATTATTATTGATTTATTAATAGAATCCTTATTTATTTTGCTTCAAGTTTCATATAATCTTACTTTTTGTCTCAACACTATTATGATATGAAATATATTTTACTAACAAACTAATTTATATTTCTTTACATAAAGCTTATGAGAGTAAATCACGAGTGCGCTATACAATTGTATAAAGTTTACATTTATTTTAGACAATTACTGTATAACAAAGAATTTTTTTAAAATTAATTTTATATAATTCTTTCTCAAACTACTGTAACTTATAGGCCTAGATAAGTACAAAGTTTGCAAATAGTTTATTAATATTATCAGTATAGTTTATTAATTATTGGTTAACTAATAATATACAGTAATTAATACCTACAAATACAAATTTAGACCACGTACAAAAAATAAGATATATTTATATCCTTATGTAGTCATTTGTTTTATAATATTTTCATTTATAAATATCGAGATTTTATTGTATAGCAATTTTGAAAAGCCATTTTCTAATGAATACATTATTATTTTATTTCACTTCCACTATATTTAGGTATGTTTTTTGTTTTCGCATCTAATTTCAAATAACAAAAAAATAAAATTAGATTTTTATCGTTCGTTATTAAATATAAGAATGTATTCTGGGTATTGATTTATCTTAAATGTTATTTAATGAGAATATTCCGTATGTACTGTATATTAAGATAAAAATTCTGATGTTTCCCTTATTTATAATTTCTATGTAATAAAACAATTGAGGGAAAGACAAGTCGATATTGTATTGAATGAAGTTTATGTATTTTGTTGTAATATTTTTAAACATTTTGTAATTATCTGTGAACTAATGCACAAATGTAAAATCAATTATATATATACTACTCGAGGCATTATGTTTAAAATATTATAAAAGTGTTTGGATATATAATTTATGAAAAGCAGTAACTTTGGATATAAACTCCAAGTATGATAATATAATAAAGTCAATAAGGTTTTATTGAAAAACTATTTATCAGTAACACCATAAAATATGTATATAAATAATTTATTTTACAATGAAGTAAAGCATTATGCATTGCGACTACATGTCCATCCTATTCCATATCATATATTAAATGCAATTCTTTTGGTAATCTAATCATTTGACTAAAAAAACATATGAGGAACTGGCATATATAGAAATCGGTGTGCATACTGTATTTCCATAATGAGTACAAAAATTAATTCATACATAGCTTATTATGACAGGTTTAGTTTACTTGCATATCAATTATTTTTCATACATAACATAATGAGTGTGTGTTTTCAGTAGATATAACCGACTTATGTTTTTATCGAAAAACTTATGAAATGGATTTATAAAGGCATCTCATTCCTGGTGTATTTGTTTCTACAAAATTGTAATTAAAACTAAGTATTCCTGGTGTTAGGCATATCTATTATTCTGTGGACTACAATTAATGGGAACTATATTAATGGGATTACAATAAGTCACTTTAATTTATAAAGAG